AATCCGTCGGATGACGTGAAGGGCCGTAATTTGAACAGCGGGCCGGATCTCGGGATAATCTTACAAGCAGAGTCAAACTCAGCTGGGAACGCCGATCTTTGGATGCAGATAATGAGTTTGTCTTCAGCTCTTTGAAACTCTTGAGCCTCAAGCGACAGGCTCTTGGGTTTGTTGTCTCCAGTTTTGGAGGCGAAGCGGAGCATGTAAGCAAAAACTCAAACCGCCCGGCGCCATGAACCGAACTGTTTTCCAAACACAGTGACATCGGTATTCGATGTAGACGCCACAGCATTGATCGTGTCATTTCTCTTTTCATTGAGCACCTTCGCGTCTATCGGATTCAGTGGGTGGTCTACGGGTTTCTCCAGCTTTAGAAGCCAAGGAGGCCCTTTCAGCCACAGATCCCTTGAGACCGTTGTGTCAAGAGGGGAAGCTCGAGTGAGCAGGTCGGCCGGGTTCTCGTGCGTACGGATGTAACTCCACGCTAAAGGGTCTGAGATGGACTGAATCTCCTCAATACGGTTGGCGACGAATTGCTTCCACCGGGAGGGATCGTCTCTTATCCAGCCAAGGACCGAACTGCTGTCGGAGTAGAGGAAGGTGGCGTCGATATTTGAGCCGAATGATTTTTTGATCGAGTTTGAGAGACGTGCAGCCAAAAGAGCCGCGATAAGCTCCAATCTCGGGATGGTCCATCGGCCCTTGAGGGGGGCAACCCTGGCCTTGGCCATGACGAAAATGACGAAGGCCGGAGTGTTCGACTGAATCAAGGGAATCTCCCTTATGTATGCTACACAACCGTAGCCCGATAGCGAGGCGTCTGCGAATACATGAAGTTCGCGGCGTGACCTTCCCCAGGTCGTACTCGAACAAATGTCGAGGTATCTGTATGAGGGTAACGGTTTTCCAGGTTACTTGTCGCTTCGACGTAACTTTTCTCACAAATCGTCTGTGAGAGTCGAGTCCCAGTCGATTTTCCTCGACCAGATGGTCTGAAGAATCATTTTTAGCGCGATGGCAATCGGTGCAATGAGACCGAGCGGGTCGAATACCTGGCTGAGACCCTTGAGTAGCTGCCGTTTGGTGATCGGACCCGATTCCAGGAAAGCGACAACGGGGTCGACATCGATGAAGAGAAAATCTGATACTTGATTCCACGAGATTCCCATGAACTTGCCGCGGGTGTTCGATGCAGATACCGAACGGTCCGGGCCTACGATTCGTGAAATGTAATCGGCAACTAATTTATTGTTTGCCGCCCACTTATCGAGCGGAAAATGACCGCTGGAGAAGACGTCAATAATTAACCCTGTCGTTTCCTTCGCTTCTTTGATCGATGAAGCCCCAGCGCAGAAATCATCCATAAAGAAAGTGTCCCGGATTCCCCGGAGGATGTCCGCTTTCCCTGGGAACTTCTCGATGCTCCAATCTAGGTGGTGGCGAAGCACCTGACAGTGCAAAAAGGGGGAACATGAGAGACCAAAATCGAGAACTGTCGCCCAGTATTCCCTTATCGGGGCTTCTGGGTCTTCCGAGATGCCTAGAGGCCAGAAAAAACGAAGAAATTTTCTGTGGTCTTCGTTAATCAGCGTTTGCATGAGCGCTTGTTGAACGTCCGCAACGATTACGATCGGACTTTTCCGGAAGTTGTTGAGGACGGAAAGAATGTCGGGCAGCAGGTTTGGCCCTTTTTCTAGCACGTCATTTAACGCGGCTTCCTCTTTGGAACGACAGCCGCAGTCTTTGACGATTCTGATTTTTCGTTCTGACGCTTCTGACAAGGATTTCTTCGCCACCGCTAGAATTGGTAGATAGTGAGCGCGCTCGCCTGGTTCTCGCGGGTCAGCCTGTTCCGCGAATCCCGAGTCGATATATTTCCTGATCTCCTTATCGACCGCCTTAAGGAGGGAGGGGTCCTTCTTTGCGCTTTTCAGAAAGGCCAGGAGCCTTGAGAACGAAATTTTTTGATTGTCGCCCAAAGTGGAGACGTTATCGCGAAAGGGGAGGGAAACCGAATAGCGGCCATCCTCTGTGCGCTTCACTGTATCCTTAAAGAATTTGATCAACTCCTCTCCGGTTCTCTCTGCGTCCGGTGGGAGGGGGCTCTCGATGCCGATAATGTCCGTATCCCATAAAAGCTCAAGATTGGCATGCCGTTCCTCCCGCTGGACCGCCGGCGCTTTTTGGATTCCCGATGCGGCTACGACGTGCTGAACGACCGCAGACGACGTGAAAACCGAGTTTCGGATCTGGTTGGAGCCGTCGGCGTCGCTGCCGCAGCAGACCCAGCCGAAGATGGTCGGGCACGCGAAGAGCGAACCGATTCTCGTAAAGGAGACTCGCTCCTGACCCGAGTAAACGAGGTGAAGCCAATCGTTAGCAATCAAGAGGTCTACCTCTTCCGGGAAATTTTCCTTTTTGCTGTCGGCTATTGGGTGGAAACCCTTGAGGGAAGAGGCATGAGGAATGTTTCCTTTGATTACTCGGGGGATTCTTAAACAGCTAATGGTGGTGCTTTTCTTCGAGAATCTACTTTGAAGTTTGAGGTGGCAGGTGTCCACCTTTTTGATCTCCGTCACCGTTCCAGCGATACCGTGGAGGCTGATGGCCTCTGTGCTCGATGCTTTGATACCGAGCTCTTCGACTATTCTGTCGGAGACCAGGGAGCGCATCGCGCCGGGGTCCAGCAGCGCACGACAGACAACCCTCTTGGGACCGTTGACTACGTAGACGTACGCGGTTTGGAGCAGCGCAACCGGGGTTGCGGATTGCGATTGACAGCCTGCCGCTGCTATCTGAGCTTCGACTCCAGCCGCCGTAGCCAGCTGAGAGCCTGTGCATACTAATTCAGAGTGACGTCCCGCGCATTTCGAGCAATTTTTTACCTTGGCCCGGCATGTTTTCGCTCTATGGTCTCTAAGCAAGCATCTTAAGCAGGCGTTCTGGTCGGCGCAACGCTTCCTTCTATCTTCCGGAGACATTTTGGTGGTACACTTCGAGCTCTCGTGATTTTTCCCGCAGAAAATGCAAGAGTGATCTACCTGACTGGTTGCTCCCGCGAAAGAGAATTGGGATCTAAGATTGTGACCGTAGTCCCTGCCCTGGCTCTTGCCTTCCTTGGATTCTGGTCTGTTGTCAGAGCTGTGGGAGTTTGAGCCGGAGCCCTTGCTAATATTAAGAAACCTGCCGTGCCGCTCTGAGGACTCGAATCTGGCCTTCTTCTCCTCCAAAAATTTAAGGAGAGCCTCTAGCTTAGGAGTGTCGTCGTTCGCTCTCTTTTCCCACTCGGTAACGAATTCTACCCGCAAGTCATACGAGATGCAACATAAAATCATAGGGGAGTACGCCGATGAGATCTTATCGAAAGTGTCGCCGTGGGCCACCAAGGAACGGATAGTTTGAGCCTTCTGAGAAACGAAATGAATGAACTTGCTTGGTTTGGCGATGTCCTTCACGTAGCAGAGCGCGTGAACTCGCTGGGATAGCTGAGTTTTTGCCGCGTCGGAGCGACCGAATGAGTCCTGGAGAATATCCTTCATGAGCTCGTAGTTCTCGTCGCCGATATCCAAGTGGCAGACCGATCCGAGAGCCTTGCCGTGAAGGGACCACTTCAAGATACGGCACTTTTCTGTGGTATCCATCTGCCGGCAGTCGACGTAGTAGTCAAAGAGCTTCCACCATTCTCTGAACTTGACGAGATCGCCGTTGAATTTGGGGACCTTCTTCTCTGGATTCTTGACCGGTGTGAGAATGTTGGCCTGGTTCGGATCCGGTTGCGGAGAGGCTCCTGGGCTATGTGGTCCCGCTGCGGTTTCCGAGTAGAAGGTTCCTGATGAAGAGCCCTCGACAGCTTGAGATGGCCGAGGGGACTCCGAGAGGAGGGGGCTAGGGATGCCCAGCTCTCGCCTCATCGAGCTGAGGCGATTGCGAAGGCTAGCGAGGTTATCCCCTGACTCGGCGTCGTACCTGATGTGCTCATCAAATTCTTCGTCCATTTTCTTGGGGTCGGGGTCGACCTCCAAAAATGGTTGCCATTTCTCGAAGAGATTTGTATAATTTTCGAGTACCTGGTTGAGCTCTGCTTCTAGGGTGACGATATCGTCGTACTCCTGCGGAATCTGATTAGCGAGGACGGACGCTACCCTATTGTTAATTCGGGTGAGCTGGGAGGGACGCACCCTGATCTGGTTTTTCAAGAGAGCCACGGAGGGTGGTTTGGCATCTATGTCACTTGGAGGGTCCTGGCTCTGTTCACCGCTCGGGCCCGGGATGGATGTTGCTCCTTCGCTGTGGGGCATTTCCCTTGAGGACTGGGAGACGATAGCCGACGAAGGCTGCTGGGCGCGGATTGGTTACGAGCCGAAGTATCCGAAATACACGGGAACCGGGGTGGCTGGCTGGTGTTGATCGCTGCCTGTGGGAGTGGGGGTCACGAGCCGAAGGATTTTACGGCGGATCCGGGTAAGTAGCCTGGATCTGGACTGAGCGTGACGTGAGCGAAATCCGAAAATGTGGGAAATCAAGACGAAAAATCCGCAGGTTTTCGTGGATGGGGGATGTGCAAGCCTGCACGAAACTTCACACGGATGAGGGGATGAATTTTTCCACCGGGGTCGGTGATTTTTCCTCCACCGAGGTCGGTGAGTCGTGAGGGCACGTGGTGATCGCCGAGGTCGACGATTGTCAAGACTGGCTGGAGAGGTGAATCGCGAGGTCGCGAGTTCTTGAAGTCTTCTGACACCAATGTTACGAATCGAGGGCGATTCGTTTTAGTCCGACACTAGAGAACCAAGACACAGAAAAATCAATCGTAACTGCGGTCGCTTTCCCTACGCCGAAGCCCAACGCCGGAACGAGAGCGATCCTATCGCGGCTGCTTCCAACGTGCGTGTGTCTCTCCGACATCTCGACGCGGAAGCGCCCGAGATCTCGGGGAAGGAGAAAGGTGCGAGGGAAAGCTCCGCTTTGTTTATTTCTGGACCTTTCTCACTCCATCTCCATGGTCCTCCACGGCGATGACGACAGGAATGTTCGTGATTGTCTGGATGACACCGTGGTTCCGAACGGCCCTCCCTATTTCCGCTGCGGTCCACGTTTGGTCTCTCCTACTCCAGAGATGAAGAATGATAGGCGACCCTTATGGTTTGGGTGAAGATACAAAGGTGCCTCTTGAAATAATCGATTTGTTCGGTCTTGGTCGGTGGGGACATCCGCGCTGAGAGGGTCCTCGGCTGTGCCGAGGACGTCGGTTGGTGGATCCATACCGAGCGACGGATTTGATTGGGGCTGGTCTTGGGGCGGTTCATGTTCTTCAGCCTTGTCCTTCAATCCTCCGGAAGATTCGGTTGGGGGAATCATCGAGACTTGGAAAGTCGACCTGGTCACCGATGTCGATCTCTTCCACGGTTGATGAAGAACCAACTTTGTTGTAGGAAATCGATCGCGTCCTATGAATGGTCTTGTATTCATACCGTATTCTCAATTACCCTAGACGGGTCGGGGAATGTAGCACTATTTTTGAGAATGCGGTATGCGTAGAGCTTCGACTTTAACGGGGCATGCCCCACTATTTGAGAGAATACGGTTTCTTTTCCCCCTCATATTTCAATCCACGAGCAGGTGAGTCCTTTCACTGCAATGCCGTCCATGGCTCGCGCGATTACAGCCCATCAGCCCGAACACCCATTAGCCCGAACGCTGAGTCGGACCTCCCTCTCTCAAGCAAACCCGCTGAACTGGGGTTCTCATATCTGTATTCTGACAAGCGGATTTTTTAGGCCTTAAGTATATATTGGACCAATAACTCAGATTTCCTCTTAATGCGGGAGGAGCCGCAGTCTCTTCCCATTGTATGCATGAATGAGGAAGTCGGCAGGCAGCTCGATGGGGAATCGCCTCCTTCTAGTTATGGTTGGCGATAGAACGCGATGTACGCGGATGAAGCGACTTCACATCCCTCCGTAGGGGAGCATATCAGCGTTCTATTTTCCCTATAGTCCGATAGAGAGCATCGTTCCTTGCCTGGCTCAGAGACTCGTTTCAAGTTAAAGTCCAAGCGAGCATGGGATTGAGTGTCCATGAGATCCCATCGGCCAGGAAGAATCCTCTCTTCAGGGCCAATGACTTCATGTACGAGGTCGATAAGAGTAAGGGAGAGAAATATTTTTGTTGGTGCATTAGCAAGAAGACCGAGAGATCTTCCACCAGACCACGCAGCACGTTCGTGCTTCGCAACCTCGATCTTCCAAACCCCCAACCCTCCAATTTAGCGGGACTGTTTGAGAAAGGGGGGTCCGACTCAGCGTTCGGGCTAATGGGTATTCGGGCTGATGGGTGCACACCGCTCGCGCGATGGGAATGTCGGCCGAGATTAATATATTAGATCTGGCCAGAATGATCGACACCCTTAGAAGGATCGAATCGATGCCGGAGAATAGGTTCATTCCGATTCTATGTAAATTGTCGGAATGAACTTCATGTCTCTCAAGTATATGTGCATGATATTATAATTGAAATGGAAGTTTTATTTTTCGAGACGGGATGCTTCAATCCATTAGTGCTTGAGTGTCTGGCAGCACATTTTCCCTTTGTCCGGTCGCTAGGTCGTTTGTGATCTACCGCGTTTCCTCGAACTCTTCTTCGTTTCCCTCATCGATCCACCAGGATTCCAATTTTCGTGCATCCTCGTCATCAAGATTCACTTTTGCTTGCGTGTTGCTGCTTGATGTCAGGACTCGTTTTCCCTTGAACTCCTTGATTTATACGATGATTCTGTAGGGCGACGCAGCGGCTCTCCATCCCATCCAGAATGTTACCGTGCTCATTCCACAGACTCAAGCTGATTATCTTTTTCTGTTTCCACAATTGTTATGAAATTCCTTGCGTTTTCCGGCAGACCAGTGCCGCTGACCTCCACAACTTTCGAAATCTGAAATTCGCATCGATGATGTCTTCATACCCGCTGAATTTTTTGATTCAGCACGGTATGATCTCTTTGGTGAGTAAGGCTATACGCAATACTAGCTGTACCCATACCTTCGTGAGTTGAATCTCCAGGTCGTGTTTCGTCGTATCATACTGCGGGTTCTTCTTCTTCAACTTGAACGCTGACACGGCGTAACAGTGCCCGACGGCCACTTTCCCGTGAAGCTCGTCGCATTTAGCCCCAGAGACAACTATATTTATCTCACTGGATGCGTCCACAATGATGAAAGAAAAGATCTTGTCCTCCTCCTGCTCGTTTTTTTCCCAGAATCTCAGAGGCGTTTTCGTTTTGTCGCGGCCCTTGACGATTCCTCCTACTTTATCGAGCTGCAGGTCGGCTAGCTGTTTCGGGATCTTGGGATGTGGTCCTTCGTCTTTCGAATCTATCAGATGTTTTTGACGTCAAGTGTTATCGTATGGTCCTGCGAAGGCTCAAATTGTCAATGTGGGTTCCGTATTCGCCTTTCTTCCGCTTCTGCGCGCCCGGTTTTGCGACTGATGGTTTTGACGAGGTTGCTTGTTTTGCCATTCTGTGATCGTTCGGCGCTTCGTTTTTCCGACTGAGAGTCGAGCATACGTTCGCAACTGGTTTTATATTTTTTTCGGAGTTCATTTTATGTCTCATCAAATGTATCTTTCCTCCCTTATTTCTCTGTGATTCAGTTGTGCGTCCCGGAAGTATCGCGCGGTAATGACCCTCCGCGTTTGGACCTCATTTCTCGGGGTTAGGTGCTTATTGATATAGCCTACCGTAGCTACGGAACACGAGACCGATGGTCGTGATGTCGCGTTTGATAGCTTGCTTTCAGTCGCTGTTACCTTGTTCGATTTCATCATCTATCCTACATGAAGTCTGTGGAATATGGGGCGATGATAGGTAAAACACGCGACGTATCTCAGAAAGCCTAATTCCATGTGTCGATAGAAAGTGAGGTCGATGCATGTATTGCCGAGAGTTGTATTTTAGGCTCTATCGTTACCTGGTTTCATTGCATAATGCTTCTCGAAGTATCTTTCCAATTTCGGTCGATCATTCTCTCATATATTAAAGTCTCCCATAACAACTAGCGGCGCCTAACCATCTCGCAATTTGTTGTCCCCCCGTAATTTTCTCGTTAGTGCGGTCTTAGAGATCTCTGTATGCCGTCTGTTGATGTACATACGTAAAGCGCGACTAGTGTGAACTCTTTTCCATCGGTTAGTCTGATGATCACCCTGCCGATGTCAACATGATGGGCTCCGGTTTGCTCGTCGGAAAGTTGAGCTGTTCTCTCTTCCACTACCTCGGAATCGACGAAGCTCCGTGTGTACATGCTGACACCTCCTGCTCTTTTTCGACACGGCGTTTGGAGAATAGATTTGAAGCCTTTGATCCGGAGAGTAGCTGTGTCTGGATTTACCCATGTTTCACAATGTCACTTAATGCGAGAACGTCCGCACGCGATAGAATCGGATCAGTTGAAATGTCTTCTGCATGTGTCTCTAAGCTCTGTACGTTAAGGTTCAGAACCACCACGGAAGATTCTCCATATGGTTTAGTGTCGAGGAACTCTGTAAGATCCGTGCTTATTGTCCGTGAGCGATGTCTTTCTAATCGTCGATATTCATTTCGATGTCGTTATTTGACATATAGCGTGATAGAAGGTGAAGTCGGCATCACAATTCGTGAGGAACAATCCTTTCAAGCATGTCACTCTACTCAAGGCAACGTATACGAGCTGTTGTTTATGATTCTTGTGGTAGTCATAGACGATCTGCGCAAATGTTCCCCCTCGAGACTTGTATATCGTCAGAGCGCACGCTGGCGCTAAGGGAAATTGTAGGCGACGACATTTTATTTTCTTCGGAAGGTTGATAGTGACCGACCGTAGCTCTATCGGAACCCATTGCTCGTTTAATGTTTTCGACTTGCATTGCACGTGAGCTCTGAACTTGAGTTTGATTCTACGACCAATGTAATCGTTGTCAAATTCCAACCAAACTCGTCTAGAATCCGCCACTCTACGTACGCTCTGGTAGCGGGAAATGCCTATGGCGCCGTTCACCAAGCCGTCCTCGACATCGACATTGGTGGTCAGCATTCAGCATGTATGGGAAACTTTTACTGAACCTCTCAACATAGGGGAGATTGCCTGTATCTCGCGTTTTCATACGATATATTTTCCGTTCAGTTTCCGTTCTGTAACCCTCATAAGAATCCGGAGCCATTATGCATTATGATTTCCGTAAACTCTGGAAAGCTTTGGTATTGTTATCATCTACGTCACTGTTACTGAAGAAAAGTCTCACAGCTTCACCGGAAAGATTCGCGTCG